GGGTTTTGTTACCCGAGCTTGCAACGTTGAGCTTTGTCAAGCTGCAATTCATGTGGCTGCTGCCAAGTTTCTCCTTAATAGGTCAAGAGAAGGGAGGAAGTGCATACAAATTTTGTTTGTGAAGTATAAAAACGCTTATCTGCTTTTTGTGGTTTTAATAGCTTTTTCGCGTAAAAGTCCCATTAAAGCGAAAACGATGTTATGGCACCTGTTGTTTTACAACTGACCACTAGCAATAAGTCGAAAAAAGACGTCGTCAGTTCATAGCAGTAGCTGTAATACTAGTTGTTTATTAGGGTCGTCACTAGGATCGCCCTATGCCGCACTTGCTGGCAGCCCGTTCTTGCGAAAGTCTATTTTCTGATTTATCTATTCCTTTTTTGATTTAATTATCAGGCTTCTTCCTGTTCATAGGTTTCTTTCAGGATGAACACTCCCATACCACAACCGGTAACCGTAGCGCGCAGCAATAGTCTGCGTGTATCGCCGAAGAAATCAAGTTTGAAAACAAGTAATGTGTCGCCTTCGAATATTAATCCATGGTAAGAATTTCTTTTGTAATACCTTTTTTTCTAACTTTTGAGGCGAAGTGGTGTAGTGACCATGGCGCACTTACCACACGCCAATTAAGCTTTCTGCCATCCGGGACGGTAAATCGTTATGAGGCACTCATGTGTTTTTTGGTATCTACACTTAATATCACCGCAATTGTCGGGTCGCAATCAGCGGTTCTCACCTGCGGCGTTTCCATCATTGGTTGTTTCCTTCCTAAATCGATCTCTACCCGATCGCCATTGGTAGAGCAAGGGAGCCGAACGCGGACTCGAACCGCGCTGCTCACGCCGCCTCCGACAGTCCGCAATGATGAGGACTGTAGATGCTTTCATTACTTCCACACGCATTATTTTTTTGTGTGGGGATGCTTGGAGAAATCTCCTAGCAGTTGATTCTTGACACCTTGGATCGCATTACACAACTATTTGGTGCAGTTTGCCCAATTTTTCTGAATTAATTACTTGCGGCACAGTGCATGCGAGGGCCAGATATCCTTTATTAGGATTCGCCAGGACAGTATCCGGTAAATTCATCTGGAGATGTTGCAGTGTGAACAACGTGGAAGTCATACGAGAGTCACAATTACACATCTTTCAGTACGTCAGCGGCATCAATGCGGCCACCATCTGTACAACCATCGTTGAAAGCACGTGGCTACCCCTTCAGTGATCCCAATTACGCCCCTCTTCCACTGAGACCGCCTACTGTTACGACATTCGGCGCTGATAAAGTGAGTTTATAGTTTGTGCGTGTCTTAAATTGTACTGTCTACTAAACGATGTTTTTCAGAATGGTGGCGCATATAGTCAGCAAAGTACTGCCCGTATAATGTCTCCGATGCTTACGGAAAATATTACACCACACCACTATGACAAAGCGAAAGAAGTCGCTTCATGGCAGCAGAATGGTGCTGCGTATAACGCGCATTCTGGAGTGGTGAGTTGTAGGACGATTCCATGATGCAATCTTGTGACGAGTCCGTCGACGCTTGACTCAAAGGAACGGCCCGCGTTGACTCATAAAAATGTAAAAGATTGCGTTGAAAAGTACTAGTCCTCAGTAGCAGCTTTGTACCAGCATCGCGGCGAAAAGTTCTGTGGTAGACACGATGTCGCAGAGTTGCTCGAGTGACATCTGTCTTCTCGCGCCTTCTAGCGGAAAACGAGATGCATGACAAGGACGCTCTGTTGTCACTTTTGAGGTCGTAGGATTCCTTGTAAGGAATAAACTGACTGGATCTATCTCAACTCACAGTTTTCTCAGCTTGTACTTGTGCACTTGGTTGAGCCCTAAGGGGTCCTGTTAGAGGTGTTTCAGACGTTCCCTGCTGTATATATCTCTTCACTGCGGGTCCCTTGGCAACTCCTACTCTGACTTCCTGCACCCTTATCTAAATACTTTTTCTATCGCAGACCGTTCCCTTGATAATTGAAAAAAAATTGCACGTAGCATAGAAGTGTTTGGTAGTAGCCGAAGCAGTTTGGAATTTTTCAGATATCACCCAGTTCGACAGTACCTTCATCCATTGTATCTCCCCAAAAAACTACCGATGATGGTGTTGGCTATGAAGAAGTAGGTTTTATGTGATGCTAACATCTGTCGCACAGTTAGTTGTTTTTTTTAGTTCCGAGCTGCGTTATCCAGCGTTGTCGATCGAAGTGATCCACGTGCAGACCTTGCCGATTTTAAAGTGGTCGGTGAGGGATCGACGGGTACTGTATTGGCTGCTTATAAGGTTTGTTTCAAGTAGAAATTGTAACATACTTGTAGAGCTGCGAAACGGCACGGGCTTAATTGACACCATTTTCTCGTTGTTTTCTTCTTTGTGTGGAGCATTTGAGGCGGAGGTGGTATAGCGGCAAGTGGCACGCTTACCACGCGCGGTCCGGGGATCAAATCCCGACTCGGTTCCCGCCCAGGCCAACCAAGCCATCTCTCTTGCGGCGACGAAACGTGGTACAGATTCATTTGGTGATAAGAACATTTACTTGTACATCGGAATGGACCCTCGCAAGTCATTGTATAGGCCACATCGCATTCAATAAGCTACAATTCTGAATGGAAGTAGAATGCGTGCCGCATCCTTGAAAGGGATTGAGCAACGTGGAAGACTTTAAGCTTTATTCTGACATCGTTTAGTGCAATAAGGTATATATGGAAATGAGGATTTCCGCTCGAGCTAAAGACAGTGTGACCAAATATGGGCAAAAACTAGAAATGCTTCGAAGATTAAACTCGTAATCTTCTATAAGTCTGCAGGGGTCTACAAAGTGTCCCTCCGCTATGGTCGAACTGCGCCTGAGCTCCATATGAGCTCTTTGTACTCTAAAAGTATTGTTTCACTAAAAAAATTGCAGGTCTCTTCCAAACAAATAGTTGCCGTGAAACGAATGAATCTGCGAAAGCAACAACGACGGGAGTTGCTCTTCAATGAGGTATCCATTAGTTTTCTGGTTTTTTATCGGTTTATTCCGCCATGTTTCGTTTCTTAGGTCTCTATCATGAGGGATTATCAGCATCCCAACATTGTGCGGATGTTTTCATCACATCTCGTTGGCGATGAGTTGTGGGTGATTATGGAATTCATGGAAGGAGGCTCATTAACTGATATCGTCACACAAACCAGGTATTTTTTTCTAGGTCAATACTTTGCGAATGTGGATATTGTCAATCCAACTACGAAAGCGTTTAGACTTGGCGATGACGCGCGACGAGGCGCTGTAACGAGTTACAATTGCAACAGCGTTCCAAGGCTATACAGGGGGGGCAAAAAAAGTCATTTTGCCTCCATGACTTTCAAGGCGCTATAAGTTACACTTTATTAAATTTTTATCGGACATTTTTTACCATATTAAAGAGCACATTAAATACTATAACGATACTCCGCCACAGCCTTCTGGAGGAGCGCCATCGAGAGATTCGGCCGCGCGAAAGTGAGTGGGTACCGGAGTTGAGCGAGATCGTTGATTTCTCCGCCACCGTAGACCACCCTCTTGAACTCCGCCGACTAGGTAACTGAGTGGATTCAGGTCAGGGGACATACTTCAATATTACATCTTCTTCAGGTACGAAACGCCCTTCCATTCGAAGTAGGCGGGAGTTTTTCCAAAACCCTTTGATTCCATGTGGTGGCACCCAAACCTGTAGCAGCACAAGGTCTCCAAGAAGGTACGGGCGACCACATGTAGGGAGGATATTCTTCTCGAGTTACTTGATGTAACCGCCAGCGCTCACCTTCAGTCGGGGTCTACAAAGAAAATATCGGTCTTCCCATTCCAGGTACGGCCGGTCCACACCATCAACCCGCGCCTTGGTGAATGGGGTGAAGATGATGTCCTAGACCGTAGCGACGTTGCCGTAGCTGGTCGATGTGGGAGGTCTTGCAGATCAAGAGTACTGACCTCCAGGTAGCTATCTGTGGATGACTTCATTCAAGAAGTTTCGCAGCTGTTTGGAGGCGACGTGAATTCCAAAGGTGTTCTCCAGTCAGGCCGCGACTGGAGATGACTTCATATTTTGGCGTACATGAAGGCGATTGGCGGCAGCGTGCTCCAGCTTATAGAGGAAGATCTTGGGTATCTTCCACTCTGGTACTCATATCCACTTCCCCTGTCTGGGCTGCGAAAACTTCGTTGATATGTGGCTCGGCCGAAATGACTTTTTTTTGCCCCCCCCCCCTGTATACACGATACGACCGCAAACGGGAATCGATTGGCCCCGGCCGCTTGTGCATTGATAGAGTATGGGGGACAGGACAGGAATTACCTAATCACGCAGTCTGGTATCGGTCGGCACTGGCTGCTAGGATTTGGGAAAGTATAGAAGAATGAAAGACTGCTAGGAAGTGTGAAGGCAGCGCCTCGCTCCTGTTATCCCACAGGTATTCAAAACTCAAGCGGTCGGTGCCAATCGATTCCCTTCTGCGGCTGCGTTCGCCTCGACAGGATTGGGGTGGTGTTGCAGTTGTAGGGTGTCGACACGCGCCATCGCGGAGTCTGAAGGCTGCCTTATCACGTATCTATCGTATCATTCTTTACATCGCAAAGATGAAGAAGGGGCTTTAGCTAGTGTTTGGAGTTCATAGGTGCTTTCACTAAAAATTTGCTATGTAGGATGACGGAACCACAGATTGCCACTGTTTCACTGCAAGTGTTGAGAGCGCTGGAGTTTCTTCATTCGCGCCGTGTTATTCATAGGTAAGATTGAAATATTCATGCAGCGTACACTTCATATCCCTGAGGCGCGGTAGGCGTGACGAGTACGCTGTGACAAGACACTCGTAATCCGCCGCGCTGGTAGGCTTCGCGTGCGACGTCGCCCTCGAAAAATGACGATGTTTCTTATGGATGGCCACTGTAGACAATATATAACCAAAAATATCCATAAAAGGCTGCGATGTCGTGTTCCTAATGGTGTCCGGTGCTCCAGTCGACGGCATGAAAATCAAGAAAACGCCTTCCCATCGCCGCGCGCGACGTTTCGGCAAATCACGATTGCCTTAGCCGTTTTCCACGCGACTGCGTACTTTATTGGATCATGAGTGGGTTATTCGTTGGGTATTTCCATCCGAGCAACTGCGATTGTCTTGTGCTGGATAGAGGCCATCACAATTGTCAAATAGGTAATACCCTATCAAAAGCGTAACCGCCGCCGCGCTCATCCACGCCTACCGCATCTCAGGGATTTGTACTTTAGATAGCAGTTTTTCTGGCATCCTCGATCTTTCTTTTGCAGAGACATCAAAAGTGATTCCATCCTTCTTAAAGTTGACGGAACTGTTAAGGTGAGAACTTTTACGCTCTTCTTACATTTTTTTCAATGGTTCATGTCTCATCATGAAAATGTTGCTTGTAGATCTCTGACTTTGGCTTCTGCGGTCAGCTTTCGGATGAGTTTCCACGTCGCAGATCTCTGGTAGGAACTCCATACTGGACAGCTGCAGAAGTAAGTTACATTGATCATTGAGACAACACTGCAATTTTCGAAATGTTCTCCGGAGACATGAAGTTCTATAAATTATTGTGGATTAGTTACAGTAAGTTCGCAGCATGAAAAATTACATTTTGCTCTTGATAAGCCAATGTTTTCCATGTTCTATTAAGTAGCTATGCGCTCGCGCTTGAACGAGGAGTGCTTTTCTTCATATTTTCGGCTGTAAAGATTTTTGTTAACCATATCTTCAACGACGCCCACAACTTCAGGTTATTGCTCGGCAACCATACGATACTGGTGCAGACATTTGGTCGTTTGGAATTATGCTCATTGAGATGGTTGAGGGTGAACCACCGCTTTTCAATGAACAACCATTTCAGGTAGGCTGAGTTGAGTACCGGTTTGACCG